CCTTGTGCCCTTCTCGTACAAATGTTTCTTTTAGAGGAGTGGTGCACATTTGAGTAGACGTCTTATTCTTGCTTGTGCTTGGGTCAAACCCAAGCCCCTCTTTGGCAAACACCTCATTGTGTTGGCTCAATACCTCTTCAAGGTTCTTTTGTCCTTGAGCACATGACACGAGACCTTTCTCGAGTTGAGCCTTAAGAAAGCGATTCTCCTCAAGTATAGATGCTAGGTCACTACTAGAGTTAGTAGTACAAACTTCAACATTGATAATAGGAGAAGAGTAAGCCTTGGCTAGAGTTTCAAGATAAGTTAGCTTGAGTGTCTCAAAACTCTTTGTAAGAAGGGTGACCTCTTCTTCCTTAGTCTTCAGGGACACGGATAGAAGCTCATAATCCTTAGAGAGAGAAGCATGAGATTTCACAAGCTTACTTTTATCATTCATCAACTCTTCGCACGAGTCCTTAGCCTTTTTCAAGGAGACAAGATCTATAGCATGAACATCAATGTTTGCACCAATTTTCAAGCATAGTTCATCATTTCGTGCTTCCTCATATTGGACTTTCCGCTCAAGGATTACATATTTTTCCTTTTCCTTGGTTATGAGGGTTCTGAGTTCCTTAATGGTGATGGTGTGCTTACCCACCATTTCCATAAGCATGCGAAACATAGTGAGCTTCTTTCCTTTGAAGGAGCACATGACCTTATTTAATTTTGCAAACATGGGGTCATCTATATCATTATCATCATAATTATCCTCCGCATCAAGCTACTCATCACTAGGAGTGGAAGGAGTGAAAAGAGGAGGGTTTGATCGTGGGGTTACCTTGACCTTGTCAGGAGAGTTTTCATCCTCTCCATCTTCTAGCACGACCTTTGCCATAAGGCACTTGTGAGCGTTGCCCTTTTAGTCTTTCATGTAGTTGTAGGTGACAACCTCACCACTCTTGTTGACTAGCCTCAAGGTGTTTTGAGAATCTTGAGCTACTCCGGCAACACCACTAACATCATCCGGATCGGATTCAACCATTGCTTTCCCATCTCTCTTCTTGATCTTGGAGTTTAGAGGATTAGGCAACTTTTTCTGGGGAAAGGTCTTGGGAAACCTTGATTTATCTTCTCTCTTCTCATAAGGGCATTTGTTGGAGAAGTGGTTGGTTTCTTCACAGTTGTAGCATTTCCTCACATTCTTCTTCTGAAATCTTCCCTTGAATTTTCCCACGCTAAACTTCTTGACAAAGAGAGCAATATCTTCATATGAAGGACTCTCATCGGAGTGAGTCTCATCACCATCTTCCTCCTCCTCATCTTCTTCTTCTTCACTTTGCTCCTCTTCACATACATGCTTGGCCTTCAATGCAAGGTTGATCTTTGATGTTGGGGTACCGTGCATGGCAAGATGTTTTGTGGCATTTGCTTTTGATTCTCCAAATAGTTTGAACGTGGATATGATGTCATCCGGGGTCATTTCCTTGAATCCATGGTGTTGTCTTATGTCCCACACCATTTGGTGATTATAAGGAGCAACAACATGAAGCAACTTGTCCACGAGAAATCTCTTAGTCAAGTTGAATCCATCTTGCGTCTTGTCACAATCACATGGCTCAGTGTCGACGGTGAGAGTCATGAGACGCTCAAGGAGCCGCTTGGGGGATTCACTTTTTTCCATACAAAAGTTTTGCAATTGACCCTTGGCAATTTCATATTGAGCAAGCCGGAGAGTGGAGGTACCGGTCTTGGTCCTCACAAAGCTATCCCATAATTCCTTGGCACTTGTGATGTGTATGTATGGTCTCCTTTGCTTGTCAGTCATACCTCTCCTTATGCACATTATTGCTGTGTCGTTGAGATGCTTGTCATATACTTCTCTTGGTGTAAGATTCTTTGGGTCTACAACTTGATAACCATACTCCAAGATCTCCAACATCTCATCATTTCCGTATCGAAGATGATCCTGCATAGCAACTCTCCACAAAGCAAAGTCGGTTGTGTCATCAAATAAAGGAGGTTTGCCTTGGGGGTTATACTTTGGTTTCTCTACTTGAGGTCTTGCATAAAGCCAAGGAACACTGGAGTGTTCATTATTAGGAGGTTGTTGGCCAAGTGCCTCGAGGCCGCACCACCAGAAAGTGGTGCAAGCATCATGGTCAATGTGGCTAGTCTCATTTGGACCAAGGCCTCAAGAGAAGCATCATGCTCCTCCTTTTTCTTAGCAAGTGCCCGTTCCAGATCCTCAGAAGTGAAGGACTTGTCTTCCGTGGAAGCCGCGTCCTTATCCTTTAGATCTGCAACAAGGGGAGTCCCATCGGGGTTCATCTCGCTCTAGGGCGGTTAAGCCACAAGAATAGAGAACGAGGCTCTGATACCAATTGAAAGGATCGAGATGGACCTAGAGGGGGGGGGTGAATAGGTACAATTACAAATTTTAATTGTTACTAGCAAAAGAGCCCGTGCATTGCAACGGGAGAAAAAACACAACACACGCTCTTAACCCAATAACCATTACTCAAGACCACAATAGGTCCATCACCTTTATTTTATCGAGGCATCATATTTGTGTTGCCCCTTATCCTCCTTCTCACCCTCGCCGGTGATGGCCTCAGTGTTCACACAAAACAAAACGTGTTTGAATATGTTTAATCCTAAGGCGTCTCTCTCTCCCTCTTTCCTCCCTCCCTCTCTCTCTCTCTCACTCTCACGATGAGAAATCTATTGTTTTTCCCTGGAATATTTTTCAGAGGTATGCATGTGTTGGTATCGATGTTTTTTCCCTATATGGTTATAGTGGGATGTTTATTTGCAATCCGGATCGCCGCCGGTACGAAAGAAAAATGGATCGTGCGCTATAAATTATAAGTTTGCTTCCAAAACAATAGTTAAAAAAATATTTAACAGGTGAAGTTAACATCATATTCTGATTCCACATATTTTTCTAATCAAATTTCATATATAACATGTTAAAATCAGAGTTATGGTCTAAAAGATACGGATAATTTAGAAAATCACTTGTTTTACTTAAATATGTTTCCAAAATAATATTTAAAAATACTTCACAGGTAAAACTAATCTCATATTCATATTTTACATATTTTTCTAATAAAATTTCATATATAACATGTTCAAATCGGAGTTACGGTTTAAAAGATATGGATGATTTAGAAAAGCATTTGTTTGACTTAAATATGATGCGCGGAAGAATTACCTAAAAAGTCAGGGGGGTTTCAAAAAATGTAAAATAACGGTTCGGGTGTGACTTAAATCTAGACGGCGGGTTGATTTCAAGAAAACATAGGGGCTTTTGTGTAAAATACAAAAAAACAATTTATTTTCTTACCTAAAACAGGACTACGGGTTGAATTCTCTGAAACAGAGGGACTTTTCTGCAAAATGCCATGACGGACAACCAGAAACCCAATTTTCTTTATTATTAGGTAAAGACTCAACAATTTAGGCAATAATGCGGAATATGAAATTGAGCCTAACAATTGCAAGTGTGATAGTATGAGCTAAGAAAGGTAAACAAGTAATGCTAGAAGGAAAGTGAGCAAGCACAATATGATATAAGTAAAGACTAAGAGACAAGTAACCACAAGTAAGCACAATATGAGCTAAGATTTTCATGTGAGTTGATTTCAAAGTTGCATTATTAATCATGAAAAGAAGAGTCAGAAAGGGCAAGAAACCATAACAGCTTTGTATAGAGAAAACCAGCCATGTTGTACAGTCCCTAAGAGCATCTCCAACAGCCGCCTAATGCGCGGTGTGCTAAAATTATGTTTGCAGCGCGCCGATCGCCTGTTTTGGCACAGCGGGGAGCGCTGGCTCCAACGGCCGCTGTAAACTTAGCACGCGTGCGTAGTTCCTGCAGGTGCGCTAAAATGCAGCATGCGCGTTCTCGCACCAACAACATATGCGCTCAAAACACAAGAAAAAGATCAAACACAAACAAAATAAATCAACAAAAATAGTTGAATTTCGTTATTACAACTCAAGCAAATAGTTTATCTTTCAATACAACTCGGTGCAATGCGTCTGAGCAACTCGGTGCTCATCCTAAACCGGCGCCGGAAGTTTGACTCAGGGTACACGGGATTATCCGCAAAATAGTGCCTGATCAATCTGTTGTGGGCATTAATCCTATCCTTCCAAATTTTCTGCCGATCAATAACCGAATCACCATGCTTCGATTTTTTATTGATGTGCATAGCTAGGATCATTGCAAGATCCTCCTCTTTCATATCAAATTCTTCTTTGGAAGAATCATATGACAAACTCATCTACAATGTTCAATTTAAACTAGGCTATAAAAACTACAAACAACATTCACCAAATTCATGTAAAACATGTGAAGTCGAAGCAATACATACCTTGCGGGTGTTTTGTCGAACACCTTGCGGGCGCCGAGCGCTAGTGGGCGGCCTGGCGCTGTTCGTCAGAGGACTGCCGCGCGCGAGGGGTAGCGGTGACTAGAGGGAGATGGAGGAAGCAGCGGCGGCGCGGGGATAGGCCGAGGAAGCGCCGAAACGGTCGCCGGAAGAAATGGCGTGGCGCGGGTTGGGGCGGCACCAGCGGCTGGATGAGGTAGATGGAGTTGCGAGCGGGTGCTCGAGTGTCCAGCACGCGGGAGCGGGTGCAGCAAATAAACGGCGTGCGATGGCGTTTTGATCCGCGCGCTGAACTAGTTATGCCGCGCGGGTGGCTTTTGCGTTACCGCTGGAGCGCTCGGAGCGATAGCACGCGCGCAAAAAGCACTAATTTTTCAGCGCGGCGCTTATATAGCGCGTTTTGGAGATGCTCTGAGAAAACCAAAAAATATCGCTTGCTCACCTCGTGCTGCTACCCGTGGTACACGGACGATCGATGCTCCCGCGTGCCCCCCACTACTCCTCCAGTTAGTTAGTTAATAATGATGAAAGAACTGAGCTGCTCAAGCTCCTTCGTTCTCGGTCAACGCCTTCTCCGTTTCCTCATTTGGTTCTGTGATTTTTTAGCGGTGCCTCTGGGCCATGGCGACCTTCACATCCCGCACGTCAGCTCCTCAGATCCGCTCTTCCCCGCTCGCTCCCTCTCATTTCTCGTTTCGTGGTTTGGAGTCTGAATGGTCTGTCGTCTCGGCTGAATCTGTGTGTGTCGCATCGCAGGAAGCCCCACGTCAACGTGGGCACCATCGGGCACGTCGACCACGGCAAGACCACCCTCACCGCCGCCATCACCAAGGTCAGTCAGATCAGGCCCGCTCTGCTTCGATGCTGTGCCAGTGCCAGCGGCTGATCTGAATTCTGAAGGCATTTTCTTTTCTTTAGGTGCTAGCCGAGGCGGGGGCCTTTAGTAAGGCGGTGCCGTGCAACCAGATCGACAACGCCCCCGGTGAGAGATCTAGAGGAATCACCCTCTCGACGGTCTGCTCTCTTAGCGCTTGCCCCATCATTTTTCGTATTTGCAGTTCATCGCAATGATGCAGAGGCCCGGGCTTATCCTCCTTCCTTAAAAAAGGAAAACAAAATCCACATTTGCAGACAAGTGCTGATTTCGCGGGGTTGTTTCACCTTCACGCAGGCTCATGTCGAATACGAGACCGCCAAGAGGCACTACGCCCATGCGGACTGTCCAGGGCATGTCGATTTCACCAAGGTATATATATGATCTAGATATAAGTTACCTTACTATAAAGAAATAAGGAATTGCCTGCATATGTGGATTTCCAGCATAATCCTTCATATCGGAATGGCTTCTTGCCACATCTGAACTTTGCATTCTACTCCCTCTGTAAACTAACATAAGCTCTAAATGCTCTTATATTAGTTTACGCAGGGAGTAGAGCTTAGTTGTCTGTCTAGCACACACTTCTCTGACGCTTTGCTTGTATGCTCTTAATTTGCCGTGCATTATTTAGAACGTGATCACGGGAGCTGCTCAAATGGATGGTGCTATTCTCGTCGTGTCAGCTCTTGATGGCGTGATGCCACAAACAAGGGAGCATATTATTCTAGCTCGACAGGTCACAAATTCTCATTATTCTCAGCAGCAATTTGTCTCTTTAGCATTTTTCTCTTTGCAGCTCTGAGCAGATGGACGCTTCTCCTCTCTGTAATTCTTAGATTGGGGTGTCGTCAATTGTTTGTTTCGTGAACAAACTTGACGTAGTTCGAGATGAAGATTTAACAGATTTAGTTGAGATGGAGCTTCGTGGTATGCTAGCATTTTTCAGTTGTCAGTTTTTGGTTTGTCGATTATGCTTCTCTTGTAAAGTAAATTTGTTGTGCAGAGGTCCTCAGTCTCTACATGTTCCCTGGCGACGAGATTCCTATCATCCATGGATCTGCTTTGGCAGCCTTGGAAGGAAGGGACGAGGAGATTGGAAAGAATGCTATTTTGAAACTGATAGATGCCGTTGATTCATACATCCCTGATCCTGTGAGGGTGCTTGATAAGTCTTTCTTGATGCCAGTTGAAGGGATTGTCTCAATTCAGGTGATTGGATTTTCTGATTGCTGCGCTAAACACTGTGATATACGTACCATAATATATGTATCCTTGAGATTTGAGAAGTTAAGATCATGAGTCCATAAATCATAATGACAAGATCATACATTCGTCTTACCTGATCTTATCGTTGCTAGCTAATTATAACACTGATTAATTGGTTTGAATTTGCAGGATCATGGTACTGTTGTGACTGGACGTATTGAACGGGGGGTAATTAAAACTGGTGAGGATGTTGAGGTCATAGGGTTGACGGAGGTGAGTTAGAGCCTGATTTGTTTTTTAATGCCTGATAGTGTCCCTGACCCATGGGACATGGCTGGCCCATTGTGATTTATTTCATGAATTTGACTAGCTTTATGCAACTATTATGTATTGACAAATAACTGAAATCACTAATTAAGAGGTATTTCTCGCAAAGGCCACTCTCACTTCCTCTGGCGCTGACAAGTTGTGCCGTGCAGGTGCACCACTTGTCGAATCTTGGGAGCTATCTTTTTTTTTTTGTAGATTTGTTTTTTCAAAACGGTTTATCTCTTGAGGTGTGCGTACAAATCATGAACCATTTTTCGTCAAGATGTTCGAAAGTAGATCCCATGTTAATATGTTTTGATGAACTTTTGCTCAGCAAAAAATTAAAATAAAAAAAGGGAAAAGAATAAAAATAGAAACAAAAAAAAACAGGAATTGAGAAAAATGAAAAACCAAAATAATACAAAAACACAAAAAAACCGAAACCTAGAAGTATAATTGTACTTTCCAATTTTTTTAGGAAGCACATCCCTTTTTAGGAAGCATGGTTGTGCTTCTCGCGGAAGCACATGTTGTGCCTTTCCCTTTTTCGGGGAGCACAGTTGTGCTCCTCGTGGAAATCGTAGAAGCACAACTGTGCTTTTCCCCTTTTGGGAAGCATAATTATAGTTCTCGCAGAAGCATATGTTGTTCTTTTCCTGTTTTGGAAAGAACAACTGTGCTTTTTGTGGAAGCATGGACTGTGATTTTCCCTTTTCAGGAAGCACTAACACTCTGTGCATGTTAATACCAAACAAAAAAACCATACTGAAAATAAACCAAACCAAACCAATTCTAAGTAATGTATGGTTTCTGTTTCGGTATGGTATGAACTTTCCATATCGTTGAATTTCGGTTTTTATAGTATACACCAAAAAATCAAACGGTTAACTGAATAAGCTGAAGTAAAAATATATATTTATATTTCTTGAGGCGAACAACCATATAAGTAGTCATTTTTCTTGTATAGGAGCTGGAAGAACGTATATTTTCTTGTAATATAGTTATTTTTTCTCTTTAAAAAATGTTCAGCACATCCATAACCATGAAGGAATGAAACCATGCATGCATATATACTTATATAAGTTATATACCACATATTGAGTCATAAATTTATACATTATTATTATATCATTTTCAAATTATTATTATAACTATGTGTTTTGAGTCATAAATTCATAAATTATTATTATATCATTTTCAAATTTGCATCAACTTTGGTTATTATGGTATATACCGAAACCATACCAAAATAATTTGGTATATATCAAAACCAAATGATATTTTAATTTCATACCTTATTTTTGAAAGTATTAATATCGTACAAAGCAAAAAACCCATATAAACCAGACCATCTAAACCAAATGCGCGGAGTTAAGGACAACTGTCCTTCTCGCGGAAGCATAGGCTATGCTTCTCATGAAGAAGCACTGCTTTCTCAAGAAACAAAAACAAAACTATTTGTTTCCGCCAAAACCTAGGAGAAACCAAGCAAAAGCAGAAAAGTAAAAAAAAACCAAAATGCATGCAGAAAAATAAATAAGATACCATGAGTGCGTCTGACGCAAGACACATGGCAGCTGCTGGGCCCACCACGCGCCGTCTGGAGAGGCTCCCGTGAGCACCCACTCCATTAACCCCTGAAGGGAAACCCGTTAAATAGTTGCTCCCATGAATAATAAGATACTCATTATCATGGTAAATCCTACTAGTGAAGTTGCACATGTGATTATTGCTTGCAGGTGCAGTATATCTGGTCCCATGTCTGCTATGCACGCATGAACCTAAATGCAACACTAGTCAAAGGCTGGTTGCTCTAGTTTCCTAGTTGTCCTCACAAGTTTATTACCCATTACATTGCTACCTTGATGTACACTTTTTTGACCGTAAACCTTGATGTTACACTGATGAAACATATTCTTGGTCACAGAGTGGTCCCATGAAGACCACAGTTACTGGTGTTGAGATGTTCAAAAAGATGATGGATCATGGAGAGGTAATGATTATGGAAGTAGACCATACATTGTTCTTGACTGATTCTGAGCATTGTGCTAACAACTCCTTGTGAGCAGGCTGGTGACTATGTTTGTCTTCTTCTCCATGGTCTTATGTGCGGTGATGTCGAGCGTGGCCAGGTCAGTGAGCCAGATTCTTAGTTGAATGCGTAGACGTTGGATCTACTCCCCTCTCATAATATAAGATCGTTATATTGTGGCACGGAGAGAGTAATTAACTTCTGCTCTTAGCCTTATCGGCAGAGGTCTTTGGGCAAACAGAAATTGCCTTTTTTCTCATCAAGGAATATTTGGCATGAAATACGTCATTAGTCTATTAAGAGTGAATTCCAGTTTTTACCCCTAAGTTTAACATTTTTGACGCTAATTACCCTATTTAAGAGAATTTCATCCGGCATACCCATTTAACAAAAGTGTTGCCACAAATTACCCTCTTCTATTTTTTGTGAGTGTTCTGATCTATGGGCCCCGATTACCAGGTCCACGTGGCGTGCCACGTCGTCGGTTTTTTTCCTTGGCGACTTTTCTACAGACTGAACCGATTCGCCAGCTTCTGCCGACCGGACCGGGCCGATGGCAAGCACACGCAGACGCATGTCCTCACCGATTTACAGGTCGCTTGAGTCTGATGCACCACGATCCCATCCAATCCCGCCACGCATATCTCGCTGGAGTCTGTTGCACCACGCATGGATCACTAGAGGAGAGGGTAAACCCTGGACTTTGCCCATGGATCACCGGAGCATCATCAAACCAACCATCACAGAATCACTAGAGGAGTTAACTGCACCCTGTATCAAGCGAGAACTATTCACACATCCAGTAGGCCAACGATGTATGTACTAGTTCCATGGAGAAACAATTCAGAGGAAGAAAGAAATACCTGAACTTGCTGACAGTGACGGGCGGGGCGGGATAACGCGCCAGCATGGGACTACACGCTCGAGGCACGGCAGCCGCACGCCATTGTTGTCGCCGCCCTTCAACACCCTCCGCCACCGTCGCGGCCCTTAGGCACCCGCCGTCTCCGTTGCCGCCATTCAGCACCCACAGTTGCCGTCGATGTCATTCAGCACCTGCAGCTGCCGTCGTTTCCCTTCAGCACCCGCCGTCGCCGTCGCCGCCGTAAGCGAATCCCTAACCCTAGGCGCGAGCGAGAGTGGTGCGTGCGGTAAGAAGCCGGGCGAGCGGTGCATGTGCTAGGCTAGACGCGAACGCGGTGCGGCCCGGGTCGAGCGTCGATCGCCACGACTGACGGTGCGTGCGGTTCAGCGATCCGGTCGGGCTCAGCGGCGCGGACTGGTTTCACATGAGGAAAAAACCCAGAAAAACCGACGACGTGGCATGACACGTGGACTTTGCAATCGGGACCCATGAATCAGAATGCTCACAAAAAATAGAAGAGGGTAAACCCTGGCAACACTTTTGTTAAATTGGGTATGCCGGATGAAATTCTCTTGAATGGAGTAATTAGCGTCAAAAATGTCAAACTTAGAGGTAAAAACTGAAATTCACTCGTCTATTAACTTAAACTGTTTGCACACTTTAGACAAAGAACTCGAAAAATGATTAGATTAGACCACAAACTCCGCCTATTAAATCAAGTAAGACAAAAACCGATACAGAAGAGAAAAAAACATCCACGTGGTTGCCATGTTGGGTTGCTTATACCGGCCCTATATGCGCGGACTGATCGGCACCCCTCATATCCGGCCCATATCAGAAGCGGATATTGGGAGGCCCGGGCACCCGGGCGCATCCGCCACATCCGACTGATCGCATGGACCCACGCGGAAACATGCAGAAACCCATCGGTCTAGCAGACGTCTCCTCCGATTTCAAATGAGAACGGTAAGGATGCATTCATGGCGTCACGTGTTGCCGCTCTGGTGCGCCGCTCGAGCACCCTAGTCCAGCTATTTAAGATGGACGTCGGTACCCAAACCCTACCTCGTACCCATTTCCCTCCCCTCCCATCCGTCGCCGCCACATTTCAATCCGCTCACGGTCCGCCATTAGCCATGCCCCGACGCTGGATCACGACGTACGCCATGCTCACGCCAGAGCGGCGGCTCGAGCTCCTTGAGAAGATCCGGGCTAGGAGCGAAGCCGGATCACAGCTGACCTACCTCTGGACTCGTCGGAACCAGAGGAGAAGGAGGAGGGTGCAGATGAGGCGGATCCGATGCCTCCGAGTAAGGGCTTCGCCATGCCCGAGGCATTGGTGGAGTTCGAGATGGCCCAAGCGAAGGAGGCGGCGGTGCAGTAGGTCATCCTCGACTCCATCCAGATGACGCAGACATGAAGGTCAACTGCCGCCTTCTCTGTGGGTTGTAGAGCTCGATGAGATCTTCGCCGAAATAGTGTCCGACGAGGAGCCAAAGGTCCGGCAGGTAGCCATCCGCCCGGAGACGGCATTGCCGGCTCGGAGGTTGTTAACATCTCCGTAGTATGTAGATTTTATTTGGCATGCTTGTATGGATTTGATGTATCAAATATGAGATAGCTGGATGCCGCGGAGCAAAAATAAAGGGTCATCAGTTACTGTTCACAAACGTATCCGGGCGCATCCGCAGGCATATAGAAAGTCGGATTTGCAAGTCCACCTGTAGATGCTCTAAGACCGCCTCGTGAGGTCAATATACCTAAGTTTGTTGGCCACTAAAAGTGCAAAGTGACTTGTCTCTGCATTAGGTTACAATAGCGTCTCGCGCTCGCGCGTTGACGCGCTCGATTTCAAACAGCGTACGTTTTCAGATCAATCTGGTTCGATGTGTTGTTTCCTTTTTATTTCTTTCCTTCTTTTATATTGCATGCAGCCACACACCCCCCTTAAAAGCAGGGATAGAGAGATTAGACTACCCATAATGAAAGTAGCATAGATGGTAATATTACACATATTTAGACAAAATAGATGATGTGGCAAATAATTAATGAAGAAAGAGAGGCATGTGGTAATATAGCTAGTTACTCATAGTATAGGTAATATCACACATACCAAGACAAGATGAGTCTACAACCTAATAAATAAAGTGTTGTATGACACCACACATATATTACTTTCCACTGTAGAGTTAGTAACATATGCATGTTACTAGTCTAAGTTACTCCACAGTTTGGCTAGTCTTAAAGGAAGAACTCAGGGGCAGAGAAAGAACAGAGGAAGCACTCAACGCAAAATCAGGGGGTGAGGGAGATCTTTTTTTTAGGAGAAAATCTATCCGGGCCCCACGTAAAATCACGGGGAAAGTGATTAGGAAAAACTCCACGCAGCCCATCGAGGGTTGCGACGTGCGCTCGTCACTAAGTCTTTTCGGTCTGATAAAACGTCAACAACAAAGCAACGCTAACTTATGGCTGTGGAGCGAATAACCTGTGGTTGGATGGTTAGAGGGACTGTGGTATCCCCAGTCCACCAGGGTTCAAATCCTGGTGCTTACATATATTGCTGAATTTATTTCAGCATTTCCGGCGATGCGCATTCAGTGGAAGGAGACGTTCTCGTCAAGGACGAGATGCCTACAGTGACTTCGTAGATTTCAAGATGATATGGATGTTCTAAAAAAACTTATGGCTGTGGATTATTGCTAGAGGACACGAACAATCTGCTGCTGGTCGGTGGCAGTTGACCATGCCGATTCCGCAGCATCCATACGGAAACTATTTGCGTTGCACTGGTCCCTCAAGATTGCGGATTCGAATTGCGCGGAACACACCACGCGGCTTATTTTAATTATTTTAAAAGCGAGCAAACATGAAACTCGGCACTTTTGTGGTGAAAATCCTGTAAAAATTAGTTAGTTTCCTGTAAACTTTATCAGTTTGCAAGTGGTTCAAGATATGCCAACATGACATCATGTGCAGTGGCGGAGCCAGAAATTTTGTGAAGCCTGGCCGAATTTGCTCGTAAATGTCTAATTTTGAAATCGCCTAAATAACCGATGTTTAAATACACAGGATATAACATAGCGCCAAACTGAATGACTAATCGACATTAATAATGAAGTAAAATGCAAGTATAATTCTGAAGTGAAATAATATATCAACATTCATTTTTGTAGACGTAAATAACATTATGACTTGACAACAGAAGTCACAGAACTAGGCCATGCATAGAACCAAACTCATATTGCCAGAGATATCGTCCAAACAACATAGAAGACAATATAATGTAAAACATGGGTTTGTAATTCACATAAATTAAGTGGTGTGATTGGTGAATATATTCAAAATGGAGCCAGTCGAGGAGCCAGTCGCTTCCCGGCCGCCGCCGGCACGCCCAGCCTCGCTTCTTGCCGCTACTCTGTCTCAGCGTCCGCTCCACTCCCAACCGGGTGCGGCAAAGACGAACAACCGAACAGGCAGGGTAGCAGGGAGGGGTGGATCCTATATGACCGTTAGCGTCAAACCGGCGCAGCTTCGCTGAAGCCGAGCGAAGCCAGCGATCGACACGGGCCGGCCCGCTTACACCGAGGAACTGGTTTGGGGAACTTTCCCTAAACCGGTTTTTTCCTTCTTTTTTTGTCTTACAGGTTTTTCCGGTTTTCTTCATTATTTTTGTTTTTCATTTTCCTTTTCTTTTTTCCTGCTTATTTCTTCCTTTTCTTTTCTTTTTATATTTTCTCTGATTTCTTATTTTTATGTTTTCCCATAAAAGTCAAATTTTCTGCAAAATGTGCAGGATTTTAAAAATCCGTTTGAATTTTCCGAGAATGTTTGAAATTCCAAATTTTGTTCATGTTTTCATATTTGGTTCACGTTTCAAATTTTGTTCAGAATTTCTTGTTTGTTCACTGTATTGAAGAAAAATGTTCACCATACATTTTAATAAAATGTTCACTCTTGTATAAAAAAATTTCATCGTGTATATAAATTTTGTTCAACTGCATTTCAAAAAAAGTTCATCGTATTTAAAAAAAATGTTCAGTGTGTATTTGAATTATGTTCAAGGTATACTAAGAGAAATGTTCAGTGGGTATTTTAAATTGTTCAAGTTTCAGAAAATTATTCAGTTTTCAAAATTTATTCACAATTTAAGAAAATGTTCACGTTTTAAAATTGAGTATTCTAAAAAAATTACGATTTCTCAACATTTGGTCGCATTAGTAAAAAAACAATTTTTTGGCCAAAATATGTTGAAAAACCCCGGACCTGCCGCTCCTTCGATTTTAATTCGTATAGTGCTCCATAACAGTCGTACTCAGCCCATAGGTCAGCTGGCTATCACTGGTAGTAAGCATCGCTAGTTTGGGAGTTCGACTCCCACCAGGATTTGAACCCTGATGGGTTGGGGATACCACTGTCCACCTAACTAACTCAACCACAGGTTGATTCGCATTCGCTAACGAGCGTTGAGCAGGAGGTGGAGCGCTCGCTGTCGAGTAAACCACATTCGTTTCTCTCGCTCGATTCTTCCTATTATTCCTAGGCCCAGGTGCTTACACGAAGCCCAACACTGAACGTAGCCCAACACAGTGTTGCCCGGGTGATCATATGATTAGTATTCCGGAAAATGCCCAACCACTAATCACCTTGCCAAATGCTAATCATATGGCAAGAAGTAATCATTTGGTGGAAGCTTTGCAAATATATTTGGGCATTTTCCGGAAGGTTACTTCTTGCCATATGATTAGCATTTGGCAAGGTGATTAGTGTTTGGGCATTTGGCTGAAGCTTTGCAGATATATTTTGGCATTTGGCGAAAGGTTACTTCTTGCCATATGATTAACATTTGGCAAGGTGATTAGCTTTCTATTAAGGTTCTTTATTACTTTTTGCCAAGAAGGCTGGCCTTGGCAGAAACTAGTACATGGATTAATAGCCTTCCGCCAAACAAAAAGCTACTAATTATTTTTTTTAAGGGAATCACATAATTATTTGGTGATTAAAATTTAATAGAGAAAGACATTTACGCCTACGGTTGG